CTACAAGAGTTAGTTCCAGGACTGCCTCCAAAGCCACAAAGAAACCCTGTCTCCAGTCTCGATAAAAACAAAAACAAAAACAAAAAAACAACTCCCTCACATCCTCCACCACTGTCATCATCACAGTTACCGGCACCACCGTGATTCACACTCAAATACATATCCCCAGAATGGAAGAAGGAACAGTGCCCCTGAGGGCTGGGATGATGGAATGAATCCCAGATGGCTTCCTGCTGGGGGTGTCTGGGAATCATGAGCAGCACAACCATTCTCTTACAGGTGGGTCACCATAGAGCTACCTAGTTTATTTTTTAGTAGAAAACTCAAGCCCAAGCCCAGAAAAGAACAAGGAGAGCAAGATCACTAGATCCCCAAACTCACCATCTCAGAGCTCAGAGACAAGAGAAGGGCGACAGCCATTGCCTTTCCACCTCGGTGCCACTCAGAGCCACCACAGTGCGGTGTGTAGGCCAAGGGAGGCCCACAGTCAGATTTGGGAGTGGAGCTATCACTTTAATGGGTCAGGCAGCTACTGTGCTGTCAGTCACTCTCACTCTGAGACTAAGGGGAGATTGCACTTGACAGCACAGCGTACAGGGTCAGGAGAACACAGACACAGAGGCTGCCCAGGAGCAGAGGAGGTCCGAGTTAGCAGGACTCTGAGGGTCCATGGGCTCCTGGTCTTTCCATCTTCCTTGGTGGGACCCCAACCTGTGCTGAAGGGAAGGCTGCAGAGATTGAGAAGTGCAGACAAAATGGTCAAGGTCTGCTAATGAAAGTGATAGTTATGCTGGGCTGTGGTGGCTCACGCCTTTAATCCCAGCACTTAAGAGATAGAGGCAGGTGGATCTTTGTGAGTTTGAGACCAACCTGGTCTACAGAGTGAGTTTCAGGACAGCCAGGGCTGTTTCACAGAGAAACCCTGTCTCAAAAAAACAAAACAAATGTAATAGTCATTAAAGCATCCTGAATGGCTGTTTCCTGCCCTGTTGGCATGCAGGTAGGTGGCTTTGGGATGGCACAAGAAGGAAATCAGGAGCTAGGGATTCGGCTCAGTGGCAGAATGCTTACCATATATCTGCAAGGCCCAGTGTAGCCATTGTTTTTTAGACAAACAAAAACCAAGAACATGGGTTAGAAGTCAAAGGATTTCAGTACCTTCCCATGCCTGTAGCAGCTCACCTGATAGCTCTCGGGCTCAGAGTTTTGTTTATTCAGGGTCTCACTGTGTAACCCAGGCTTGCCTGGAATTCATGGTTCTCCTCTCTGACTGCTGGGATGGCAGCACTCAGCTTTGTGTGCTCATCAGCAGGAGAGCGTTCCCAGGGCAACACTGTGTAAATGAAGCAAATACCACAGGACCTGGCGCACAGTAGGCCCTCCAGGCTCTGCTGAAACTGAGCTTTCTTCTAGCTCTCATCTGAGAATAGCATTCTGCAATGAACTTCCACCACATTGTCCCCACCTCTGGCATCTGTCACCACCATCTCCTCCTCCAGCAGCGGGAGCATCACTTCCACGATTAACGTCACCAGTACCATCATGACCACCGCCAGTACCACCTGCATCACCACCATCTCCCCATAAGGGTCACACGCACAAACAATATGCTTTTTGTGGCCTAGTCAGAGCAAGGAAACAGTGATGTATGTGGCGTCTGGGTGGTGCAGAAGCAAAGCCAGACTTCCTGACTCTCCCCAAAACAATGAGAACCCCCACAAGCAATCGACTTCAAGAAACAGCAGGTACACTGTGCAATGGAATGCTGGGTGTCCCTGTAGTCCTGGCTCCCCAAGTTTCAGCACCCAATTGCTGGCTGTCAAAGTTGCATCAGATACATACAACTGGCAAAGGTGCAAGTATTAGTTGAGGCCCTTTTATGTGCCAGGCACTAACTCTGGTGTTTACATGGATAATGTCCTTGACCCTATGGTAATATATAATGAGTCTTAGTTACCTAATTCCAAAGAGAAAGAAGCAGCAACTCAGAATGGGGAGAATTTGCCTACAGTCACCTGATCCATTATTGTCTAAGGTGGGATTCATACCACTCTCATTTTTAAAATTATCTTATTTTGTGTGTATGGCTGTTTGCCTGAATGCATATATATAATCTCTGTATCTCTTGTATGCCTGCAGAAACCAGGAGAGGGCATTGAATCCCCTGGAATTGGAATTACAGATGGTTATGAGTAGCTATGTGGGTGCTAAGACTCAAACCTGGGTCCTGCTGAGCTGTCTCTCCAGCCCCACAGCACCCTCTTGCTCCCATTCTTAGACGGCTTGCCCAGGAGAGCCAAACTGAAGATGTATAGTAGGAAGGTGTTGATCCTGGGATGGTAGAGGCTTCTGGAATGTTTTTTGTTTTGTTTTGTTTTTGTTTTTGAGACAGGGTTTCTCACAGTGTTTCTCTGTGGCTTTGGAGGGTGTCCTGGAACTCTCTCTTGTAGACCAGGCTGGTCTTGAATTCACAGAGATCCTCCTGCCTCTGCCTCTGGAGTGCTGGGATTAAAGGCGTGTGCACCACCGCCCAGCCCTGGAATGTTATTTTACAGTTTATTTATTTATTTATTTTGCCTGTGTGTTTTGAGTCCCTATGAAGGTCTCATAGGGTTTTTTTGTTTTTTTTGTTTTTTGTTTTTTTTTAAAGATTTGATTATTTAGCCGGGCGGTGGTGGTGCATATATATATACACAGTGTAGGCCAGAAGAGGGCACCAGTTCCCATTACAGATGGTTGTGAGCCATCATGTGGCTGCTGGGAATTGAACTCAGGTCCTCTGTAAGAACAGTCAGTGCTCCTAACCTCTGAGCCATCTCTCCAGCCCCAAGCCCAGGTAGTTTTAAGCATGGTATGCAGCTGAGGATGACCTTGAAGACCAGATCCTACTGTTCCCATTTCCCAAGTTCTGGGAGTCCAGACGTTTGCTACTACACCAGCACAGCCAGCTCTTCCTTCTCCTTTCTTGCATTTGTTTGTCATACGTGTATGCACACACTTGAATACATGCATGCCACAGCACATGTGTGGAAGTCAGAGGACAACTGAAAGTTGGAGGTTGGTTCTCCCCTCCCACCATGAGGATCCCAAGACCAAACTCAGGTCACTAGAGATGGCACCTTACCCCCTGAGTCATCCATCTTACTGGCCCCAATCCTTAAAAAAACAAACCAAACCAAAAACAAAGTAACAACAACAACAAACAAACCAAACAATAAAAAACAGGGTCTTGTTATGTAGCCCAGGTTGTCCCTGAACTCTCTATCTTCTCGCCTCTTCCTCTCCAGTGTTTATCACAGACAGGCAACACCACATCTGGCTTCTGGATCATTCTCAAGCCTTCAGCTAGACGAACAAGTTGTCTATGTCTCCAAGTGATACACTGTGACATTGCCCCTAGACCCCAAGGGAGTCACTCCGCTGTGCATTTGCTCATCTTTTTTTCTTTTTTAAATACTTTATTTAACTTTATTTTATGTGCATTGGTGTAAGGATACCAGATCCCCTGGAACTGGAGTTACAGACAGTTGTGAGTCGCCATGTAGGTGCTGGGAGTAGAACCGGGGTCCTCACGAAGAGCAGCCACTGCTCTTAATCACTGAGCCATCTCTCCAGCCCCGCATTTGCTCATCTTTAACCAATTCTTAACACCAAGCAAGCAGGAACCTTGCCAGCTTTCTCACTGGCTGCTGAGACCCAGCACAGGGCCTGGCACTATGCTGAGTAATGGTGGCTGTGTAAATACATGAATGAACCTGTGAAAGCATGAATCAATCAGAACGTCAAGACCTGGGGAGAGCTGCACTGACGACTAGAGAACAGGAAAATGCACCATTTCTCCTGCATTTTCTTCTTCTGCCTCCGCCTCCCCCCCACCACCCCTTTTCTGGTTTTATTGAAATGGCTCTCCTCAGATTGTCGAGCACAAACTGACTGATTGATGCCCCAGAACTAATACCCTCAGACAGACCCAAGGCGAGAGGACGATTATTTAACACAGCACCCAGGGGCACGGGGTACCAGAACATCATTCTTGTGTAGTATAAAGCCGATGAAATAAAAAGTTTATGCCCAAAATAAGTCAGACTCCTCCCCACGGTGGCTTCCATTTTTTCCTGAAGCCCCTGTCTGTGTATCTTTTCCTCTGCATGTCTGGTGGGTCCTGGATTCCTGGGGATAGAGAGCTGCTCCACGGGCCGCCCTCCCCACCCCCGCAAGCACCTCTTGGGAGTCAAGGTCCCTGGGCAAGGTCTGGTTAACAATGTCCATCATTTGGGGAGTGGGACCCATTTGCTCTTTCCCCTGATGCAACCCTTCAAGGTAAGGATGGTGCTGATTGATCTCTGGTCTCATCTGGCTCCCTTTGGGTGACGAGATGGGCACTGATGGGTGAGCTGGCAGTCAGGCTGGAGCGGCACAGCCACATGCCCTGGGCGCTGTCTTTCCTGCTTGTCACCACTCCCGGCTGCCCAAGCAGCAAAGCAAAGCCACACTGACAAGATCCAGAGGGGAGAAGCTCCAGCTGGGGCTGTGCTGGTCTTACAGGCCACTGGAGCTGCAATATGACAGCATCTCAAGTGGAGGGGGGCCCTCTGTCCCTACTTCCTGCCTGTCTCTGCTTCAACCCTTGTCAGTCTCCATTTCTTTGGCTTGCTTCTATTCCTTCTTTCCATTCCAGACTGACCTCAAGTCCAAATGGCCCTTGATCCAGGCCTCTATCCATTTCCTCCTTTTAACCCACACACACACACACACACACACACACACACACACACACACCATCACAACTGGGACTTGAGCCCCCTGTAGGTGATTGTGAGCCGATTTGTAAGTAAAGGCACAAGCCTGAGAGCATCAGTGCAGAAGTGAACGTTACGATGTGTGAGTACACACAAGTGTACAAGTGAATGTCCTTGAAAGTTGAAAATAGTGTGTGTGAGTTGGGGGTGAGTGTGGCCTTGGCCCCCGGAGCCCTCGAATGGGCTGGATGAGGAGGAAGGATGGGGATGACTGAGTGTGGAAACTTAGCTGGCGACAGATGGACAAATGCGTCCTTCCAGCTGGCATCTCTGGATGTAGAAGCAGCCAGCCCCACAACCTATTTGACCACCCGCTTTGTCATCCTGGATTCTCTCAAATCAGGCCAGAGAGTAAGGAAGCTGCCGGGCTGCAGGCAGAGCCCTTGCCCGCTCCCTGGGCCTGTCAGCCACTGATCTGTTCGTGTTCCTATAAATATTTACAAATCCCAGCTGCTGAGGAGCAAGACATCCCCCGCCAGCTGGGGCTCCCAGACTGGAAACTGGTGGGAGGGATCTGGCAAGTGAGGACCATGGGAGGGAGAGGGTAGGGCTGCTGTGGAGAGACAGGTGTTCAGGACTCCTGAGTTCACAGCTTCTAACTTTGCCAGGCTTAGCTCACCGGCCCCTGTAGGTCTAGAAATACCAGACACTGATCCGAATCAGGAAGCCTGCCCCACTGCTATCTAATCGAGGGTCTTTCTCCTGCACCTTCCCATGTCTCATAACTGAGATACATACAGGAAAGGGTCTTACTACATCTTAGATGATGAAAAACTCCCCTGTAGTCTGTAGGATACTGCTAGGAGCTCTCTGGATTGGAGGTCTGCAGTCCTCTCTGTAGGTGAAAGCATTTTCAGCTGGATTTACCCTCTGCCCCTGCCAGCTCTATCACTCCTGGTACTGGGCTGGGAGTGAATGGATACCTGAAGGAGGAAGACCTACTTGCCCAAAGCTGCCTAACTATGGTCCAAGGAGGGTGCTCAGGCATCATGGTGAACTGGAGGAGGGGAGGACCTTTTCCCAGACAGGGACATGTGTGCCTAATACAATGCCAGACACATCCCAGGCTCTGGGGCATTGTAGGAGTTGTCTGGCTGTTTTGGATATGCTATGTAGCTGAGGTTGGGCTCCAATTTATGACCCTCCGGCCTCCGCCTCCCAAGTGCTTCAATTACAGATGTGCTACCAAGCCTGGCATCCCATCCTTTTTTTTCCTGCCTGGTCTGGAATTTGCTAGGTAGACGAGGCTAGCCCCTAACTCCCAGAAACCTGCCTGCTTCCGCTTCCTGAGTACTGGGAACAAAGACATGGGACACCATTCCCAGTTTACAATCCACATGTTCCCAGAAGCAATTAAAAGCTGGCTGACTCCAGCTCTTATTGGGCAGAAGGACCCAATAAGGACTATCTATGGTTTCAGACTCCTGACCTGTGAGCACCTCTAACCCTTAGTGGTACCCCCTTTGACCTTGCTCAGATAATGCCTATATTGCCTAGGTGTTTTCAAGAAGACAGACTGTGTAGTAAAAGGGAAAAGAAAGGGCTGGAGAGATGGCTCAGTGGTTAAGAGCACTGACTGTCCTTCCAGAGGTCCTGAGTTCAAACCCAGCAACCACATGGTGGCTCACAACCATCCATTATGAGATCTGGTGTCCTCTGCTTCATGCAGGCAGAAGACTGGGAGGAACCTGGTGACTCTGAGGGTTCCTGGCTGCCTCTATGAGTCACCCAGCTGGAACTATACAGTCAGACAGGGGCTGTGCTCTGCCAGAGAGTTCAGAGGGCCCCCGGGGGCTTTCCATCTTACTTGCTGGCATCCAGGTCTAACAATTCCAAGTGTTTAAGGTGAGAAGGGGGCTCAGTGGTTAAGGAGCATTTCCTGCTCTAACAGAGGACCTGAATTTGGTCCCCAGCTATAAAGATGAGACGGGTTGGGAAAAGTCTCAAAGGGGTTGCTCTCCTTAGTGCAGAGCTTTGGGTAGGTAAAGAGCAGAGAACTGGGTCCAGGGGCCAGGAGTTTTTCAATTCCGATCTTCTCAACTGCTAGGGAGGAAGAGCAGAGGCTGGGAGGAGGGGACAGAAGGGAGGGACAAGGAGCTGGCATGTGCTCTGGAAGACAGATCTGGTGATGGCAGTGGTTAGGAAAGAGTTAAGAATATTCCTAAAATAGCTGAGCGTGAGCCCAAAGCAGCCATCTAGTGCCTCTCCCAGAGAGCGTGGATCTATAGCAGGGAAAAGCCAGCTTACTCTATACCCCACCGCCTGCTGCCTGGCATGGCTGCTAATTAATCTCCCAGCACCCCCCCCCCCCCCCCCCCCCCCCCCCCCACACACACACACCAACCCCTTCTATCCCAGCAGGAGGCCAAGGGAAGAGAAAGCAAAGGGGTTACATCTCATTTCCCCAAAGGACAAAATGTTCCAGCTGGCACCAGCAGTCTAGTGTCCAGTGCCCCCATTTTTCATGTATACCCCTGGTCTGGGGTTAGAGGTGGGACACAGATGGACAGGCAGGCGCAGTGCTTTGAAGCTTGACAGTACACTGTGCCAAGTTCTCCCAACATACGCATGGTCAGCCATGGTAGGGTGAAGACCCCACCCAGGAAGCTCAGCAAACACCAGTTTTTCTTAGATCTGTGTCCCCTCTCCACTTTGGGATATTGGGGGTGGTGTTAGGGCAGGGAGGGGACAGGGAAGTCTCTCTAAGAGGAAACTATATTTCTACTTCAGGGCAGAACCAGCCAGCGATTCTTTGCAGAGCCTAGTAGGAAATGAAAATGTTTCAAAAACTGGTAGGAATTTCAGGGTGGAGAGAAGAGAGAATCAAACCATATTCAAGTCTATTCTGAACACAGGCCTCGTATCACTGCGCCCTTGAAGCCAGCCCTGTTTAGGGCTCCATTTAATGAGCATATACTATATACCCGTTGCTCAGTTTTACTTGTCTCCAAGGCTCTCATATATCCCTCTTCATAAAGAGCTGAGACCCATTCTGAACAAAACAGGCCATGCTACCCCCAACCCTGGCTGACTTGGGCTCTCCAAAGACACTTCCACAGCCTTCCCACCCAGCTGCTGTAACTCCCTGAAGCCCCACCCTCCATTACCACCCTCAGAGGGTCTGTGTGGACCACCCAGACCAAAGGAGTGTTATCTGCCTCTTCTCCCTCAGCCTTTCTCACTAGTGAGACCTTCTTGGAAAGGGTCCCAGGGATTCATCATGGTTCTGTCTCAGATTGACCGCCGCAACCTTGGGGAGACCACCGCCTCCCGTCCCCCCACTTTCCCTGTCTGTGAATGGAGCACCTCTAATACCTCTAAGATCCTGCCTCTGCCTCTTGAAGTAGGTATAAGCAGGGAAGTTTTTCCTTAAAAGGGAGGTGCTTTTTGAGTCAGGCTTGATGACACAGGCTTGTGCTCCCAACAGCTAAGGAGAACAGAAAGTTCAAGACCTGTCCAGTCTACAGATAGAGTTCAAGGCTAGCCTGGGCAATATAACAAGATCCTGTCTCAAAATAAAAATTAAAAAGTTAGCTGGGGATACAACACTAGGAATAGAGGTCAAGGGTAGAATGAGTGCTTGCCTAGTAGGCCCTAGTTTCTACTCTGTCCTGCCTCCTCCCCTTCTTCTGGTGGGGCTGGAAGAGTTAAGGCCCGTGGAAAGGGAACCTGAGGGAGCCTGCAGATCACACTGGCCAGATGGGTCTTCGATGTCGCCTTTGCAGGAGGCTCAAACATAATTGCACTGCCTGTCACTCCTGCGTCCCGATATCTGTCTCCCCGGCTGACCCTGCGCACCCGCTATTATATTGGTTCCTGTTGGGCCTGTGGAGCCTCATCACTTATACATGCAGCTGGGGGAAGCAGACTGGGCTGAGAGAAACAGCCCCTCCCCTTAGTTCTCCTCCACCCTCAGCCAGGGCCTTTTTATAAGCTGCCTCCCTGGTGTTGGATCTGAGATGGCAACTACCATTCAGAATGGGGGGGGGGGTAGGGTGCACAGGCTGCAGGTCCCTGAAACTCCTCCCCACCCTCACCCTCAGGCATGAGATCCAGGTTCTCTGTTGATAGAGGCGTAAGAAAAACCTACCAGTGACCTGGGAACTTTATTTTTGTTTCTGGATCCCTCTTTCCTCCACAGGAGATGGGGCTGGCTGGAGGTGGGGACTTGGAGGAGGTCTTCTGTGAGATGGGTCAGAATTGAGTTCTGAGAGCCAGCCTGGATTAGCCTACTGAGGTATGCACCCCTCCCCCACATCACAACTCAACTTCTATTCTCCTGTACTTTCTGACCCAATGTCATACTTCCCCAAAGGGGAGGGGGTTTGAATTATGGAGGGCCTTTCATGAAAGCTCTGGAAATGTCTAAATTAAAATGTCATGGTGGGAATGGAAATATTTTAATGGATGCCACTGGGGAGATGTCCTTACTGTGAGTAACACAGCCTTTCAAAGCTTTCCTGGACAATTACTCAGCCCAGAGAAATGAATGGTGGTGGCACATGCCTTTAATCTCAGCGCTCAGGAGGCAGAGGCAGGTGGATCTTTCTAAGTTAGTTTGAAGTCGGCCTGGTCTACAGGGTGAGTTCCAGGACAGCCAGGGCTACACAAAGAAACCCTGTCTCAAAACAACAACAACAACAAAAAACAAACAAACAAAAAAAACCAAAAAAACAAAGCCGGGTTGTGGTGGCATACCCCTTTAATCCCAGCACTGGGGAGGCAGAGGCAGGTGAATCTCTGTGAGTTCGAGACCAGCCTGGTCTACAAGAGCTAGTTCCAGGACAGCCTCCAAAGCCACAGAGAAACCCTGTCTCGAAAAACCAAAAACCAAAAACCAAAACAAAAAAAAAAACAGTGAAGGTCCTAAAATGTGACAAGACACTAACTACACCCACTGCTAGACAAACTGGGCCTCTAAGCTAGTCTCTGCCTCTGATACCCAGCTCCCTACCTAGCCCAAGCCAAAGCTTAAAGACTAGAAACAGAATATGCCTTTCATATACCTGGGCCTTGATTCTAAAATCCTCTTCTTTGTCTTCCCTCTCAGGGATGTGCCTGGGAGGGATGGAGAGATAAAAGACCCCAATCCAGGGTCCAAAAGACCAGTGTTCCTGTCGTGACTCTCCCTTTTACTGGCTGTATGATCCTGGGCTAGTTACTTAACCCCTCTGTCCCTCAGTGTCCTCCTCTTCCACGCAGAAAGGGTGGTGCTTATTCCTTAGACTCTAGTAAGGATTTGATAAGTAGAATACAAAAAAGCACATAGTCCATATCTGTACCCAGGCAATCACAACAGCATCCACCCATCCTTCATTCCCTTAGTATATATTTCAAGATCCTTCCAGGAACCTGGATGTCCTCTGTCCCCCTCCCTATCCTTTTAGGGACCCTCTTATCTATCAGTCGCTAACCTAAACTTTTGCCTGCTCAGTCTAGGCCGCTATCATGTCTTACCTGGCCCACAACTGCCTCCTAGTCTCCTCCACAAATACTCTATTTTAATCTTTCTTCCCCACAGGAACCAGAGTAATCATTCGCATGCAAAAATTCTGATCATATTTCTTATTCAACATCCTTCCCAAGTAGTTTTTAATTGCCTTGGGATAAATTGTAAACTCCGTCACAGCCCACAGGGCCCCACAAGCTTAGTCCTTAACACATGCGGTTTCCCTCCAGCTGTACAACTCTCTGATACCCCTCCCAACCCCTGTGACAGCCAGACCCTCACCTTGCTGACTCCCGTTGTCAGGGCTTGATTTAAATAGTGCCTGGATCAGGAGGAGCCCCTTCTTTCCAGCCTCCAGAGGACTCCTGTGTGAATGTCTCACAGTCTCACCCATTCCCAGGCAGCACTGTTGTCAGGATAGCCACTGCTTGTTCAATAGGCCAGAGTCCAGTGATGGGTTGTAAACTACATGAGGTCGGAAACCTTTTCTTGCTCATCATTATGTCCCATGGTAATAAATTGGACCCCTAGTCAGTTAAAATTGTGTTACAGAGTGGATGGAAGAAAGATGAATGAATAGACAGGTGCAGAAAAAAAAAAAGATACTTCTTTGTAACAGCTACCTAGAGTCTTGTAGCTCCATAGCCTTCATCTGTATGTCATTTATGCTTCATAACATCTAGTACAATCTCCTACCCGAACCTGGACTCCTCAGCCATAAATCTGCCTTAAAGTTTGTACTGTGGAGACATACTAGCTGGACATGGTGGCACACAGCTCTAATCCCAGCACTTAGGAGGCAGAGGCTGGTTATCTCTATGAGTTCAAGGCCAGCCTGGTCTACATATCAAATTCTAGGACAGCTAATACTACATAGAAAAAACTTACTTAAAAATAAATAAATAAATAAATAAATAAAGATGTATAATAACTTTAGGGGCTAGAGAGATAGTTTAGCATTTACGAGCACTGGCTGTTCTCCCAGAGGACCTGGGTTCAATTCCTAGCACCCACATGGCAGCTCACAACTGTCCGTAACTCCAGTTCCAAGGAATCTGATGCCCTCTTCTGGACTCCACAGGCACCAGGTATGTAAGTGGTGCATGGATATACATGCAGGCAAAATACTCAAACATCCAACATAATAAGTTTTAAAAGACACCTAACAACTTTAAGTCTGTGATAATCAACTGTTAATTTTAAAGCAGGAAATATATATAAAGTGCTTGAAATGGGTTTTGGCATTTATTAAGTGGATAAAAATCCACATTGGCTGCAATACTATCACCTTAGCGTTTATAATTTCTTTGTGTCCATATCTCCTGCCAAACAGTGCTTCCATCGAGCTTTTTCATAGGGGCAGATCACCACTACTATCTTGCAGTACCCAGCTAGATGTCTCCAGCCAAGGCAAAAACAACTGAAGGCAGCCCTGCCAGCTGCTGAGTCAAAGCACAGCACCCCCTTCGTCACTCACATCCTAGACACCGCTAACAGTCTCTCACACATGCACACCCACTCAACTACTCATTCAGAGCACCTCCAAACACCAAGGAACAGCTACTCATTCCTAAATGTAGCCATACATAAGTTAGAAGCCTTGTACTCCCTTCCCTGTGTCCTCTCCGAGCAATTCACTCCAGGACAGAGAACCTAACCCCACCACGAAAATGGAGGGGCCTATATGGATGAATCCTCACTGAGAAGAGGGAAATCAAAGCCAGATTTTTTTTTTTCCTTCAACAACTACAGAATCCCAGCAGAATCAGGGTACTGCCTGCCCTCCTAGCAGAGGCTTCACTCCAGATCCTTCCTGACCACCTAAGACCCTAGTATGGTCTTAATGCCAGTGTTTGAAAGGTAGAGGCAGGCAAATCTCAGAGTTCAAGGCCAGCCTGGTCTACAGAGTGAGTTCCAGGGTAGGTGAGGGCTACACAGAGAAACCCTGTTTCAAAAAAACCAAACCAAAAGGAAAAACAACAACAACAACAACACAATATAAGAAAAGGTCTGTGTGCCCTCTCTAAATCTAGAAGCAAACATACACCCTGTGTCCTCTCCTAGCCAAAGCAGTCTTCAGAAAAAAGACAGTGTAACCCACAGCCAACTTAGGCCAAGGGTGGGTGGTAAGAGGACTTTCTTAGGCTTGAGGCGACACAATTATATTAGCAACTAAGGGTCGACATTCTACAAACATTGTATCTCATTTCATCCCCCACAACCACCCTTTCTCCAGAGGACGACACTGGAGGTATGGAGGCAAGGCCATCGATCTAAAATCACCAGGTGGAATTGGCACCTAGGTCTTTAATTCCAGAATCTTGGATCTGGCTTTTGAGAATGAAGAAAGCTTGGAGGAGCTTTTTTTACGAATTAAAATAGGAGACGCCGTTAATGCAGCACCGTGTCGATCCATCCAGCCCTGAGCTCTCTGATAAAGGGGTGCGGAGCTCCAGAGGGTAGGGATGGTCTCCTATGGGAACCTGGGCGGGGCAGGGAGAGCCCAGGGGAGGAGCCCAGGGGAGGAGGCGGTGGCTCAGGCTCACAGGCCAAGATGGCTGTTAATTAAAGTGCTGGCACCAGCTCCTTTCTGCAAAGTTTGAAGCCGTTATTTTCCACTCCAGCGAAGCGGGGAGAATCCGGCTGGGCTGACAGAGACGCCACACCGCGCCAGGGGAGCGGGCGCGCTTTCGGGGCGGGGGGCGGAGCCCGGTGGGGCGGCAAGCGCGCCTCTCGGACGCCCCGGCGAGCGCGGGGGTGGCTGTCTTCGTCGTGTTCCCAGCGGCCGCAGGCTGTTGGTTTGATTCCTCCCCTCCTCTGCTAAGCTACGGCTGAAGGCAACCAAGGAACGCCAGTCTAAGGAGCGAGGGGCTCGAGCGCGTGTCTAGAAGGCTGGGAGGTCTGGACAAATCATACTCTCATGCCCGCGTACGCACCCCTCGGGTCACCAGCCCGGTCGCTATAAAGGCAATTGCACTTAAGAAACTGTCCCAAGGGACCAGGAAGCCACCTACAGCTGAGAGCTCAGGTCTACTCGGCCTGTGTCTGCCTGGAGAAGCGTAGGGGCACTAAGGCATGCTCGCATCACCTTGCACTTTGGACAATAACTAGTCCCCAGAGACCCTGTCACGTTGAGGTTGGAACAGCTGGGAGCAAGGCTGAAGGCTGGAATCCTACCTCTGCCATATCTTACTTTCGCGACTTGGGGCAAATCTCATAACTTCGCAGAGCCTCTGTTCTTCATGTGTAAAATGAGAATAATGGTGGGCTTTATGATGTGAAGTAGATGTGTTCATACATACAAAGCATCCAACACAGTTTGCTTTGGCTCCCGCCTCCTTGACGATGCAAGTCATTCTGACCTGGGTTCGTACTTGGAAGGTCCACTCTGGCAGTGTTCCGCCCACTCCCACTCCTACCATTGGTTATTCCTGAGTCCCTTAGTCTCAATCTTTGGTAGGAATAGTCACAGAATCAAATGGACGGTGGGATGCCAGCGGTGGGAGTGTGAGCTGGGAGGAGTCTTGCAGCCAAAAAGAATGAGCTGGAGTGTCATTGTTTGTCGTGGCCAGAGGCCTCAGAAAGACACAGTCCGCCTCGGAAAAAGGAGGGTGAAGGAGGAACACTGAGCGCAGCAGCTTGAGCTGGGCCTCAAATAATATGACAAATATTTTGATGGAAGCAGACACATTTCAGTTTATGCAACCTAAACACTTTACTCAACTCAAGGAAGAGAGCCTCATGCAACCTGATGGGGGTGTAAGAGTTAGGGAGTCCCCTAAGGGACTCAACCCATACTCTTTTGGCAGATAGTAAATAGCACTACCCAGGGCTAGTTAGCTAGTTAGCTTTAACATGGGGGTCCCTCGCCTTCTCTGGGTCCTTATTTTTCCTTGTCTAGCTAGTAGCTGGGATCAGAGGAAGCCGCAGGGAAGAGGCCCCAGGCAAAGGCAGCCTAGCAGATAGCCCCGGGGCAGTAGAAAAGAAGGGGTAGAAGACTGCCATCCTGGGAGAGGGTGTCCCCGAACAGTTAGAAAAAAAAAAAAAAAAAAAAAAAAAAAAAAAAAAAAAAAAAAGACGAGGTGGCTGCTATTAGAATTCAGAGATCTTTTTAGGCACCCTAAAAACAAAGGATCTGTCCAAACGGGTTATCTGGATGCTAGGCCTGGGTGCCTACAGAATGGCTCCTCCTTAGTCTTCCTTCCCGGCTTTGGTCTTCACCCTGTCCCTTTTTCTTGGTCTGCCCTCTTGCTCCTCGCTTTGCACACCCCCACTTCAGCATCTCTTTGTCCCCTGAAGATAGGGACAATGTTTCATCCTTCAACCTCCTGCAGGTGGTGGTCCTTTGCCAGTGTCACGGTTTTCCTCGGGACTGACCCCAGGGACAACTATCCCGATGCCACTCTGAGCTTTCTGCCTCTCCCTTCCGTTCGCTCTTTGGTCCTAACCCTCCCTTCCCTCTGAGAGTCTCCTTGTTTATCTGACTCTAGCCCCCTCCCCATTTCTGAGCCTCAGTCTCCAGCTACCTCTGTGGCGCCCTTCGGAGTCTCATAAACCCCGCCCCTCTCTGCCCCTCCAGCCTCACGACTTCCGCGGCCCAATTAGGCGCCGGTCCCGCCCGCATCCCCACCCCTCGCCCTCTCTCCCCCCGGC